TCCTTCCTTCCTTCCTTCCTTCCTTCCTTCCTTCCTTCCTTCCTTCGTGGTTCTTCTCTTTTTTGCCCTCCTCTCTTTTGTTTCAAACGAGAGCCACACTTTTTCCTTTCAAATTAGCAAAAAAAAAGAAAGAAAGAAAGAAAGAAAGAAAAAGAAATAGAAATATGTTTGTTATTATTTTCAATTAGAGGATGTGTAGGAAGTTTGCAATAAATCCCAAGGGGGCCTGCATTTCATTTTGATCAGGAAAGATTAAAATGCTTGAATTCACACTGACATCCGCTTCGCATTACAGAGATATAAACGCAGGAGGGGCGGGAAGGGGGGGGGGCTTGAGGAGGGGGGCACGCTTGGGCGAAGACTGATTTAAAGCGACAGCCCCCAACCGAAACCGCTCTCGACCAAGAGAAGAGGCACGGCTGCAGAGTTGCGTTGCATTTAAACAACAACTTAAGGCTCCGATAGGCCATAAAATCGTCCATCCCCATTCCTCTTGATTCTGGCGGCCAATGTAAACCGTTTTCTCTTTGAAACGGATCCTCGCCTTAATTATGTTTGCAAAATATGCTGATCATCCTTGCAGAAACGAGCCCTTGATGGTTAGCCTTATTTTGATTCGTTTTATTGGATTTTGGCAAGCTGGATTTTCAGGGGAATTTATCCCTCCAGTGCAGTGGTGGGTTGCAGGCGGTACGTCCCGGTACTGGCGTCCCGGATACCGTTCCGGTACGGTGCTCCGGATGCTCCAGCTGCCCGCCTGAGCTCCTTACTGGTCTTTTAAGTCTTCGGCGCTTCCGCGCATGTGTACGGAGCGTACAGCCCCTGCGCAACGCTCTGCTGAGCAGCTGGAGCACCGCAGAGGCTCGCGGAGGCACTAAGACACATGCGTGCGCTGGGCGTATCCATGTGGACGCCGCTGGGCTCGTTCCAACCGTACTGGTTGGAATGGGATCCGGAACCCACCACTGCCCCAGTGGGATGTTGGAACAAACTACACAGACATGGAGGAATATTACTCAGGGAGTCCTCGACGTTACAACAGTTCAATTAGTGACCATCCAAAGTTACGACGTCACCAGAAAAAAATGACCCGTGACCAGTTTTTCACACTTACGACCGTCGCAGCATCCCTGTGGTCACGTGGATCAAAATTCGGACGCTTGGCAACTGGCTCACATTTATGACGGGGGCAGAGTCCGGGGTGGGTGGGTGTTCATGTGATCCCCTTTTGCGACTTTCTCACAAGCCATGACAATGAGGAAGACAGATTCACTGAACAACTGGGCTACTAATGTAACCTCTGCAGTGATTCACTTAACAATCACGGCGAGAAAAGTAAATAGAAGGAGTAAAAAAACTCACTTAACAAATATTTCACTTAGCAACATAAATGTTGGGCTTTGTTGGGCTTGTAAACCGAGGACTATTTGTATACGCAAGGCGCTGGGAGCCGAGGTGGCGCAGTGGTTAAATGCAGCACTGCAGGCTACTTCAGATGAACTGCAGTTCTGCAGTTCGGCTGTTCAAATCTCACCGGCTCAAGGTTGACTCAGCCTTCCATCCTTCCGAGGTGGGTGAAATGAGGACCCGGATTNCCCTGCCTAGGCAGGAAACCTTATACTGTTTCAGACAAATGGCTATCCAGCATCTTCTTAAAGACTTCCAGTGTTGGGGCATTATGGAATGGAATGGAATGGAATGGAATAGAATAGAATAGAATAGAATAGCAGAGTTGGAAGGGACCTTGGAGGTCTTCTAGTCTAACCCACTGCCTAGGCAGGAAACCCTATACCGTTTCAGACAAATGGCTATCCAACATCTTCTTAAAGTCTTC